TTCTCCATGGCAAGCAAATATGTGGACTTTCTGCAGCATCCAGGAGAAGGAGCTGTGATCTGTTGATTTACTAAGTGGACATCTCTCTCCATGCCTTTTGAGAAGCTCATGAATCATACCTCTTGTTACGTTTGCTTCAGGTTGCGTGTTTTCAGATTGTGTCTCACGGCAACCCGGAAGTACCAGAAAGGGTTACTTCCAGGTTTCGCTGCATGCGCAGACGCGCAAAATGACATCATGCGCAGAAGCAGCGAATTGCGACCTGCAAACGCGGGTCGCATTCTGCTCATGTTGCGAACGGGGCTCCAGAAGGGATCCCATTCACAACTAGAGGTACCAGTGTATTTAGTTATTTTGTGCCCCCTACCTCCCCCAGGTAAGCAATGAAATATAGCAATTTTCTAATGCAGCAATAAAACAGCGCAAAAGCACTTTCCAGTTGCATTTGAAAACTCTGCTTGTTTCTGGGAAGGTTTTAGCTTAGTAGGAGGAGCACTTTCCTTTCATGCAAAGGGTCCCAGGTTCAATCAACTCGTTCTTGGAAGCCCTGTAGACCACTGCCAGTCAGTGTTGGCTGTACTGAGCAAGACGGGGCAATGCTCCAACTTGGTATGAGGCGCTTTCCTATAATCCTGTGCTCTATGAAACAAGGCTAAACTGCAGTCCTCGCAAGAGCGTTATGTCTGAAAAGGCTGCTTCTTGTGGAAACCAATCTTGGCTTTCCAAAATAGCAAGCCTTGTTCGTGGACCTTAAAAACCCACTGTGGGAAGAAGCCTTGTATGGGAGGAGAAGGTTTTCCTGAGATAGCGGGGGGCCTAGGCCACCCATTCTAAAGCAGTGTGTGTAACTGAAATAATGGCATATTCTCCCTAAGCGGTGTGCCAAAGGGTTAATAGAAAAGGTGGGTTGGATCCTGGAAAGGGAAGAGTTGAAGGTGAGGAGAGGGTTGCTGCTTTGGAGGAGTTGTATGAGGGAGTTCCAGACATAACACAACAAAAACTAATGCAATACGTTAATAATTGGATAAAACTAGCATTGGAAATTCGCCAGGGACATTTTGCACCTGGCTATTGGGCCTTTAGGGACGCGGGTGGCGCTGTGGGTTAAACCACAGAGCCTAGGACTTGCCGATCAGAAGGTCGGCGGTTCTAATCCCCACGACGGGGTGAGCTCTCGTAGCTCGGTCCCTGCTCCTGCCAACCTAGCAGTTCGAAAGCACGTCCAAGTGCAAGTAGATAAGTAGGTACCGCTCCGGCGGGAAGGTAAATGGCGTTTCCGTGTGCTGCTCTGGTTCGCCAGAAGCGGCTTAGTCATGCTGGCCACATGACCCGGAAGCTGTACGCCGGCTCCCTTGGCCAATAAAGCGAGATGAGCGCCGCAATCCCAGAGTCGGCCACGACTGGACCTAATGGTCAGGGTTCCCTTTTTAATGGGCCTTTGCGACCAGGTGAAGATGCCCAGGGGCCAGACATCTCCACCATCCGGAGGTGCATGCCTGGGGATCCTTGGATCGTGACTCTTTTCACACACTTAACAACACATCCTGTAGAATTCTATCCGTGATACTTTATCTGCACAATCAGAACAAATTTCAGGAACCAAAAAGTCATATTTAAAAATAGGACTTTCCAGACGTCTGGCCCCAAAATGGCAACTAGTCACTAGTCACCGTTTTGGTGACTGTAACCCTAGTTTAAGGAGCCATTTGGTGGCTATCTGAGTTTCAAACACTGGATAAAACCTTATTAAGACAACATGCTGTTCCAAAATTTTCAGTGACCACACCCTTCTTTCTATTGTGTATTGATTGCTACATTATCAGTTGTACGTGGCCTTGGTCAGCTACCTTGAAAAGATGACTAATAAATTGTTTATCTCTGTGATACTCTTCCTCTTTCCTCCTGCCTTAGTATCTAATGGAAGGGAGTTACAATAAAGTCTTTCTGGCAAAAGGCAACATCCCAGCAGAGAGTTATGCTTTCTTCATCGACATCCTGTTGGACACTGTCAGGTGGGTCACGCTCTCTTAGCTCTCTCAGACTCATTTTATAAACATGGGGTAAGGTCTCCTGCAAGGGCAGGTGATATTTCCTCTTGTCCACACCAGGAGTTGAGAATGAAGTATATTTGCCATTGGTATTCCTCGAAAAAGCACCCCCTATCAAAAGCCTGAGAAACTTGCCTAGTTCCCACCTGGTTGTGTCTGTGACACCATCCCATCCCTTTGTGGAATATGGTAGTTAATACAGACCAACACAGCAGTTCTGAGGATTACTGAGTATATGTGATGTGCTTTAAACCCTATAGACCCTGTAACCTCACAGCCCAGCCATATCTTAAGCACCTTGAAATCCCCTATCAGTCTCAGTGGGAGAGAATTCAGCACCTCCCTACGTCTCCTCTTGACATCAGTGGAGCTTAAGATCCCGGGCCACAGGGGGGTTAGGCTGGCCTCAGCCAGGACTTTTTTTGGCAGTGGCCCCGATCTGGTGGAACACTCTGCCACAAGAGACTAGGGCCCTGCGGGACTTGACATCTTTCCACAGGGCCTGCAAGACAGAGCTGTTCCACCAGGCCTTTGGCCAAGGCACAGTCTGACCCCCTCTCTCCTTCGGTAATCCTCTCAGAACTCTAGCCCAATGGTTGCCATTAATTTGATTCTGAATTGATTTTAGAATGAATTGATTTTAGAATGGATTTCAATTAATTAATTGTGATCTTATGTAAACTGTGTTACTTTTATTGTTGTTAGCCGCTCTGAGCCTGGCTTCGGCTGGGGAGGGCGGGATATATTATTATTATTATTATTATTATTATTATTATTATTATTATTATTATTATTAACCCTGCTTAGCAGCAGCCGAGTTATGTGCCAAGAATTCTGGGTGACCTGCTTGTGTTCCGTTTTTCCCCTCCCACCCCAGGGATGAAATTGCCAGCTGCATTGAGAAAGCCTATGAGAAGATCCTGTTCAATGAGGCCACTCGCATGCTCTTCTTCACCCCCAAGAAGATGACAGACTATGCCAAGAAGGTGAGAATTTGAGTACAGACTTCCAGAGTTAACGTTAAATACATTACTTCTGGTAAATTAGCCACTGGAGGAGCGTGGAAATTTGTGTACCAGGCTTTTTATACTCCTCTACCTAAGGGACGCGGGTGGTGCTGTGGGTTAAACCACAGAGCCTAGGACTTGCCGATCAGAAGGTTGGCGGTTTGAATCCCCGCGACGGGGTGAGCTCCCGTTGCTCGGTCCCTGTTCCTGCCAACCTAGCAGTTCGAAAGCACGTCCAAGTGCAAGTAGATAAGTAGGTACCGCTCCGGCGGGAAGGTAAACGGCATTTCTGTTGCATCTCTGGTTTCGCCAGAAGCGGCTTTGTCATGCTGGCCACATGACCTGGAAGCTCTACGCCGGCTCCCTCGGCCAATAAAGCGAGATGAGCGCCGCAACCCCAGAATCGGTCACGACTGGACCTAATGGTCAGGGGTCCCTTTACTTTTACCCGTGTACTATCTGAAACCCAAGGGTTGGTTGCCAGATGTGAAACATATTGGCACTATTTTCAGCTCTCCTACAAGGCCAAGATGAGGGAGGGACCTTTGCTGGAGAAACAAGCCTCAGTGTTCATGGTTTTGTAGCATTGTTTAAAAAAACAAAGAATCTCATATAATGTCTCCTTGCCCTTTTACAGCGAGGCTGGGTTCTAGGCCCAAACAGCCACTACTGTTTCACAGGCCAGCAGCAGAAGCCGGAAGATGCCACCATCCCTTCGACAGAGCTAGCCAAACAAGTTATCGAATATGCCCGGCAGCTGGAGATGATCGTCTAGTCCCATGGGCTGGGACTGTGGGTTACCCTCCCCAATTTAGTATTTGTAATCCAGTTCCCATACAGTGGGCAGTCAATTTGCTTATATAGGAAGGGCGGGGGCTCTTTCGCCCCATCTTTTTCTCCTGGGATGCCAGAGTAAAAATTGTGCCTATCCCTGTGTCATTAACAGTTACATGGTTCCTTGGCCCTAGGTGGAGAGATGTTCTGGATGTGAAAGGGAGGGGGTCTGGTGATTCATGGCCTTTTCTGACCTCAGAGGGGTGGAAATAGCCTATATTATTGCCTCCCCCCTTTCCTTGCATCATAGACCAGCCTGTCATTTGCTAATTGTTCAAAATTAATGCCAGGAACTGGTTGCACTGGAAACAGATACTTTTCTCTGCTTTCTGGTCAGCGCAGGGTTAAACTGGCCTTCCAGAATTACGATCTGACTTTTGGTTTTGGTTTTTATTTGGTAACTTGCTGTCGCCTTTCGGTGCAAGCCACTTACAAGGATTGACTGTAGGTTAAATAAACACAGTTTCTTCTACAAATGCAGTTTCCCAACTGTCTAAGTGCACTTGAAAGCTATTAATACGGGAAGGCTTAGATAGTCGGACCCAACCAGGACGTGAAGCAAAACCATAGTTTAATAGTTAGTTTCAGGTATAAGTTTCCACGGCCACACAACCACTTCCATTTTAAGCTAAGCAGGGGTTTGTCCATTTTGTCTGAACAAAATGTTCTAGATTTCCCTGCAGAAATGCTGGAGAAGGGAAGAGCAGGCTTGTTGTTTAGCATTGCAGTCGAATGATCCCTGTGACTTAGTTGAGCAGGGTGCCAGCAGTACATCAGAACTGGACTACTAAATGCTGCTTTGGTGCATTACAGTTGTCAACTGATAAAAAAAGAAGTTTTAACAGTGAGGCACACATGCACACTTAGGAATCAAGTTACTGAGATGAGCCTTAACTTGCCCTTATACTGCTGTCCTGGCTGGTGTGTCCTCAGTAATCACACGTTTCCACAGGCTCAGTAGAGGCAAAAGAGGCTGAATAGCAACAGACAACACCTGTTAGGTTATTCTCACTTTATAGCAGTGTTTCCCAAACTTGGCTCTCCAGCTGTTTTTGGATTACAACTCCCATCATCCCTAACGAGCAGGACCAGTGGTCAGGAACGATGGGAATTGTAGTCCAAAAGCAGCTGGAGACCCAAGTTGGGGAAACACTGCTTTATAGCCGGCCTTAGCAGGTGTGGCCTGCCAGCATGAGCTGTGTGGACCATCAGAAAAGCTTGTGCTTTTGACCTGCCCTGGGTACAACTTTACATGTACCAGTGAATCCCTGAGCACCCACACTGATATCAAAAAGTTAGGACAGCCCACCTTGGGACATCCACACTGACCAGATTGTTGGCATATATGAGGAGTGGGAGACCCTCCAAATTTTGTTGACCTCCAGCTCCTAAAAGCCCCAGCCACCAGGACCAGTGGGCAGGGAAGATGGGAGCTGGGAGTCACAACACCTGGAAGGCCACCTCTGGTACTTATCATAGTTGGCCCAGAACTCCCTGCAGCTGGTAACAGTTCTAGGAGAACCAATAGAATCCACAGGGCTGGCAGCCCATGGCGTTCCAGAGGTGATTCATAGGGACTTGTCATCCTCTTGCCTGGGCACAGTAATGGACAGATCCCCATTCTTTCTGGTCTCTGTTGTATGCCAGCCATATGACTTTCGCTGCCTCTGCTGGGCTCGTACGCACAGGTGCTATCTACCCAACAATCCCCAGAGCTCTAAAGTGGCCCGTTTCCAAACCCATCTGCAGAACTGGAAACCCGTTTGATTCCAATTTCAGTTCTCGAGGAGAAGTCCCGGCAGACTGCAGGGACCCCCGCCGCACGAAACGAAGCCACAGGCCAAGCTGGTGTGATGTACAGGGTTTATTTTTTGCAGAAGCCTGGGGAAGGGGGTTCAGTCCTCATTGGCAATGTGCTGCTGTTCGTAAGAGTCCAGGCAGAACTTGGTCCCGGCAACAAGCGAGACGGCCAGCATGGCGGTGGCGACCCAGGGTGGTTCGGTCAGATGGTTGGTGGAAGGATTGAGCCTGTAAAACGGGGAGGAGAGCAGAAGCATAGGTGAGCAGGGTGGAGCTTTGCAGAGTTAGGCCTCTTACAATGGCTTGATTGAAACGCAACTGCGAAAGGGCAGCTGGTCAAAGAATACCCAGGATGAGCCTCAACGGATTAGAGTCGGACACGACTAAACAACAAGAAATTTACATGCGAGAATAAAAACCTTTAGTACTTGGGATGTTCAGTTCCCATCAGGCGCAGCCAGCACAGCTAGTCTCTGCCTTTGAGAAACAGAGTTCTGCAGCCCCTCCTGCCTGGGTGTGGCATGCTAGTTAGGACTGCACGGGATAATCTGGGTCAGGAGACAACTGGCCTTTTTAGCACACAGCTTATCGCTCTCAACTAAACAGCCTCGGCCCAGTATACCTGAAGGAGCGTCTCCACCCCCATCGTTCAGCCCGGATACTGAGGTCCAGCTCCGAGGACCTTCTGGCGGTTCCCTCATTGCGAGAAGCAAAGCTACAGGGAACCAGGCAGAGGGCCTTCTCGGTAGTGGCGCCCGCCCTGTGGAACGTCCTCCCACCAGATATCAAGGAAATAAACAACTATTTAGAAGACATCTGAAGGCAGCCCTGTTTAGGGAAGCTTTTAATATTTGATGAATCATTGTATTTTAACATTCTGCTGGAAGCTGCCCAGAGTGGCTGGGGAAACCCAGCCAGATGGGCAGGGTATAAATAAAAAATTATTATTATTACTACTACTACTATTATTATTATGTTCCAGGCATAGCTACACCACACACTAAAAAGCTGGTTTGGGTCATTCTGACTTCCCAGGGAATCATGGGGAACTGTAGTCTTTGGAGGGCAATGGGAATCCAACAATTCTTAGCGCCCTCCTCAAACTACAGTTCCCAAGATACTTCAGGAGCAGCCACGTCAGTTAAGAGCATTTGCAGCATGCAAGTGCCTCTTTAAGAATTGGTGCCTGAGTTGGATTTCCACTCACTCTTTCCTCCCTGTCCCTTTCTCCTTGTTTTTTTTACTGTGGGGCAGGGGACTGTCATGTTTTAATTGGCTATATGGAAGCCAGTCTGGGAGCCTTTGGGGATAAAGATGTAGGGTGCTAATGCTAATAATAATAATAATAATATAATAGTAATAATAACTCCCCCTGCCCCCGAAGTTTGTTTTGTGACCAGCTGCTCGGGATTCGCACTCAAGGCTTCAGCCTGCTCACCAAGTTACGATGTTCTGGGGCAGTTTCCTCTGCTCCTGGTGTTTGCAGTAGCACTTCCTGGAACATGATTCTGCCACCTGGAAAGCCGGCCAGTGGTGGTGCGGGGGGGATCCGTTCGCCTCTCCGCCAGGGTCTGGACCAGTCGGGGCGGAAGCTGCATCCTCGTCAATGCTGGCGGGTTTCTCCAGGGGAGGGGGCGTTTCCTGGACATACAGTGATTTTATTTGCTTAAAACGTTTCCACGTCATATTTCCTACGCTCAAAACAGTTTACTGGAAAGTCCAGTCTGGATGATGATGATGATGATGATGATTTACATTCGTATACCACTCTTCATCTGAAGATCACAGGGTGGTTTACAACATAAAAAATACAACATGAAAACAAAAATACAGTGGTGCCCCGCAAGACGAATGCCTCGCAAGACGAAAAACTCGCTAGACGAAAGGGTTTTCCGTTTTTTTTAGTCGTTCCGCAAGACAAATTTCCCTATGGGCTTGCTTCGCAAGACGAAACGTCTTGCGAGTTCTTGTGAGTTTGTTTCCTTTTTCTTAAAGCCGCTAAGCCGTTAATAGCCGCTAAGCCGCTAATAGCCGTGCTTCGCAAGACGAAAAAACCGCAAGACGAAGAGACTCGCGGAACGGATTAATTTCGTCTTGCGAGGCACCACTGTATACAAAAAGCAAGCAAACAAATCAATAAAACCCCGCTCCTAACAGGCACAGTTAAAAGGCCATAGAGTGTCAATCAGCCCAAGGCCTGGCACCTAAAGATATGTAACGAAGGTGTCAGGGAGAGCATTCCACACAAGTGGGGAGCCACCACAGAAAAGGCCCTTTCTCATGTTGTCACTCTCCAGACCCCTCATGGAGAAGGGGCTCATGATGATCTCAGGGTCCAGGTAGTTTCATATGAGGGGAGCTGGTCCTTGAGGTCTTGTGGTCCTGAACTGTTTAAGGCTTTAGAGGTCAAAAACAGCACTTTGAACTGGGACCGGAAACTAATCGGCAGCCAGTGCGGTCGGACCAGGGTCAGTGTAATATGCTCAAACCGTCTTGCTCCGGTGAGCAGCCTGGCCACTGAATTCTGCACCAGCTGAAGTTTCCGGACCGTCTTCAGAGGCAGCCTTACATATAACACGTCGTAGTAATCTTACCTAGAGGTTACTAGAACAGAGATGACAGAAGTCCCTGTCCAGATAGGGGCACAGTTGGGCCACCAGCCGAAGCTGATGGATGGTACTTTGCGCCACTGACACCACTTGAGATTCAAGCGACAGCAAAAAATTCAGAAGTATCCCCCAAGCTACCAGGTCCTTCAGAGGAAGTGGAACCCCATCAAGGGCAGGCAACCTCCCAGCCGTCCGGTCTATGGAACTGCCCGCAAACAGAGCCTCAGCCTTATCTGGATTGAGCTTCATTTTTTGGGCTCTCATCCAGGCCATTATCAAGGCAAGACAACGGTCCAGCACATCCACTGCCAAACCTGCAGGTGTAAAGTGGAGCTGTGTGTCTTCCGCATATTGCTGACCACAGACTCCAGATAATCCAGCTCTGTGGTTTCGTGTACAGTGGTGCCCCGCAAGACGAATGCCTCGCAAGACAAAAAACTCGCTAGACGAAAGGGTTTTCCGTTTTTTGAGTCGTTCCGCAAGACAAATTTCCCTATGGGCTTGCTTCGCAAGACGAAACGTCTTGCGAGTTCTTGCGAGTTTGTTTCCTTTTTCTTAAAGCCGCTAAGCCGTTAATATCCGCTAAGCCGCTAAGCCGTTAATAGCCGCTAAACCGCTAATAGCCGCTAAGCCGCTAATAGCCATGCTTCGCAAGACGAAAAAGCCGCAAGATGAAGAGACTCACAGAACGGATTAATTTCGTCTTGCGAGGCACCACTGTAGATGTTAAACAGCATAGGGGTTAAAATGGGACCCTGAAGAGCCCCACATTGAAGGCTCCATAGGGCCAAAGAGCGCGTCCAGTATATCTGAAGGAGCGTCTCCACCTATACTTCAGGGGAGATCTGGTGATGGCCAGCTTCATGTGGAATAAAGTGGCCCTATGGATACCCAAGTTCAAAGTCCTTCAAAGTCCCGCCAGGACCACATAACACCAGTTCTGAGAGATCTGCATTGACTCCCAGTACGTTTCCGAGCGCGATTCAGAGTGTTGGTGCTGACCTTTAAAGCCCTAAACGGCCTCAGTCCTGTATACCTGAAGGAGCGTCTCCACCCCCATCATTCTGCCCGGACACTGAGGTCCAGCTCCGAGGGCCTTCTGGCAGCTCCCTCCCTGTGAGAAGCCAAGTTACAGGGAACCAGGCAGAGGGCCTTTTTGGTAGTGTCACCCGCCCTCTGGCATGCCCTCCCACCAGATGTCAAAGAGAACAACAACTACCAGACTTTTAGAAGACACCTGAAGGCAGCCCTGTTTAGGGAAGCTTTGAATGTTTAATAGGTTATTGCATTTTAGTGTTTTGTTGGAAGCCGCCCAGAGTGGCTGGGGAAGCCCAGCCAGATGGGCGGGGTATAAATATTATTATTATTATTATTATTATTATTATCATTATCATCATCATCATCAATCATTCTCTGAAAACGACCATCAAAGTAGGACAAGATCCACCGCAAAGTGGTGCCACCCATGCCCAACTCAGCCACTCCAGGAGACCATGGTCGATGGCACTGAAAGCGCAGGTCAGGAGCATTCCGGACCCTGAGATTTCACGGCCCAAATCTGAGACCTGGTGATGTCATGGGGAAAGGCCCCTGGTGATGTCAGGCAAGCCAGCCCTGGAGATGGAGGTTAATTGGGAGAGTGGAGGAGGTCAGACTCCACCACAGAGTGTCTGTGCTATAATTTGAAGCTGGGCTGAAGCATGCAAGCTACATGCACAGTCTTCTTAATAATTCTTCTTTATTATTAAAGACACTCCCACCCACCTGGAGATTCAAGCCCTCTGCCTGCCTCCTCCCCGGAGGGGGCCAGGAAAACCCGGAGACTTCAGGTCAGACCTGGAGGGCTGGCAACCCTACCTGACATCATTATGAGGTCAGGTGGTATCTTCAATGGGGCTCTTTTTGGTGCCCATCAACTGATGGGTACCAAGAACCAGCTCCTTTGAACGTGCGCTGGCAGCGGCTATGAACACATTGCTTTCAAGGCAGCTCCTCACCCCGCCAATCAGCTGACTGGCACTGTGAGAGAACCCCTCTGAAGCCCGTCTGGGTCTTCGAAGCTGCTCCCTCCCAGTGCCCAACAACGGATCAGGACCTAGAGCCAGCCCCATTCTGCTAAGGCAGCCTTTCTCAACCTGTGGGTCCCCAGACATTGTTGAACTACAACTCCCATCACCTCTAGCTAGCAAGGCCAGAGGCCAGGGATGATGGGAGTTGTAGCCCAACAACATCTGGGGACCCACAGGTTGAGAACCGCTGTGCTAAGGGGTTCCCGATCTCATCCATGCCTTTATCTGCCCCACATGCAATGTCACATGATGTTCAGTGTGGGGCAGGTGGGTTTGGTTTGGGGAAAAGATGCCTCATAGACCTAACAAGGACTCCTGCCGGGCCCTATATACCTGAAGGAGCATCTCCACCCCCAATGTTCAGCCCAGACACTGAGGTTCAGCTCCGAGGGCCTTCTGGTGGTTGCCTTACTGTGAGAAGCGAGGTTACAGGGAGCCAGGCAGAGGGCCTTCTCGGTGGTGGCGCCCGCCTTCTGGAACGCCCTCCCGTCAGATGTAAGTAAATAAACAACTATCTGACTTTTAGAAGGCATCTGAAGGCAGTCCTGTTTAGGGAAGCTTTTAATGTTTGATGTCTCGCTGTGTTTTTATTTGGGGGGTGGAGCTGCCCAGAGTGGCTGGGGCAACCCAGTATATCACACCCCTGGGCAGGCATCCTCAACCTTTTCAGACCCAGGACCCATTTCCAACCCAAACATGCCTCTGGAGACTCATTTCTTAACCTTTTACCCTATATATGTGCATGGTGGTTGCGCTCCCATTGCAACCCACCTTGGACCAGACCCACCAGTTGAAGACCAATGCCTCAAGGTACCCAAGGCCTTGCTTGTCCCAAAACCAGGTTGGAAAGGATGTAAAGAACCATAACAGGTCATTAACAGCAAGAAGGAATGAAGAGAGTGGGTAGCAGCCGTCAATGAATCGAACAAAGAGCAGCCAAATCCATGAGACTCACCAAAGGCTCGCCAAAATAAAACGGCCTGGCGACGTTTTCGAAAGGCGGGAAGAGGGGGACACCCTCTAGCCGCAGGGAGCTCATCCCGTAGCCTCGGGGCCACTGCTTCTGCCCCTTCCCCTTGGGCGCTTTCACTTTCGGCTGCCCTGAAGTTTTGAGTTTCTCTTTCGACTTTGCGGCAGACGGGCCTTGTTTCCGGATCTTGGGCCTCGCCTGGGCCGCAGCCGGCACCTTCTGGTCGGGAATCAGTCTCACGGGGGTGCACCGGGCAGAGGCGGCTGGACTGGGGGCCTCCAGCACCTCCCCGGGAGAGCAAGGCCTTGGGCCTAGCAGGGACGCCGGGGGCTGGTCTTCCTTTTGGGGGAACGGAGGAACGGCCAGCGGAGAATGGCCGCCCCGGACAGCATTACAGGCCGGTGGCTTCGCTGGGCCCGTTTCCTTGGTGACCCCTTCCAGGCCCTGAGGCCTTCTGCGCGACCTCTGGGCAGCCTCGTCAGCCTCCCCAGGTGCTTCGTGCTCCGCCAAGAGAGCCACAACAGGCTGAGGGGAGCCCATCACCTCGGCCCCTTTCTCGCCAGGGCTGGGTGGGTCGTCGCAGTCCTTGCCCCCGTCTTCAGCTCCCGCCGCGGCCTCATCCAGAGACACCTGGCCGTCGTCGTGAACAAACCAATCGCACTTGGGGTCGCTCCCCAGGAAGGCCACGACCTGGGACACGGCCGTCCCAAACTTGGGCAGCTTCCGGCCCTGCCCTTTGCGGCGCTGGGGGTAGGGAGTGGGCGGCCGGGGCCTTTGCCACTCCGGCCGCTTGGTGTTGCCGGTGGACAGCTCCTCAAAGAAGGTGACCACTTGCTGGCTGGGGGCGTGGGGGGCAGCGGGCTCTTTGGGGGTGACCTTCTTGAAGTGCTCCAGGAACAGCTGGCTGAGCGAGGAGAAGTCCTCCGGGTTGCTCCTCTCCAGCCCTTTGAAGGACGGCAGCTTCTTGCCCGCCGCGGTGAGGTGGTGCAGGGCTTTCGGCAGCGCCGGGGCAGTGCCAGCAGGCGCCTTCTTCTGAGGGCACTGCTTGAGGACGTCAGCGTAGGAGATGCCGGAGGAAATGACGCCCGCTTTTTGCTTGACTGCCTTGATGCTGGGCGGCCACTGCCCTGGCTGGATGGTCACTTTGTACAGGAAGTTGAGGCCTTTCTCCAGCAGCTCCTGCATGGTCTCCGAGTTGACCCCTTCTGCCCCCAGGTTCTCGCCCTTTGCCCCGGCCTTCGCCTCGCTCCCTGAGCCTTGGGCCTTCTCCCCGGGGCTGCCCGGTGTCTCAGAGCAATCCGCAGGCAACTGGGAGGCAAGGGCCAGGCCCCGGGAGTCTCCGTCGCTGCCAGGGGCGCTGTCCCGCTGTCCGGGACTCTCTTTCTCCTTCTGCCCAGACCCCCACGACAGAAGAGCCTTCTTCCCTCCAGGTGGAGCCACACAGCTGGACACAGCTGAGCGGCTGGCGCTTTTCTCATTCAGAGGCCAAGGCCCTGCCGCCGCGGCCACCGCCACATCCTCGGCCCCCCTCAGAGGTTCGGCGCCGTGCGCCGGGCCCGCTGGCTGCTTCTTGGCCGAGGGAGCCGACTCCAGCACCCGCCCCTTGTTTTCAAAATGCTCCTTGGCGCTGGCTTTGATGTGCTGGGTCCAGCAGACCTCCATTTCCGCCACGTCCGGGGGCGCCTCAGCAGCCGGGCCCAGCTCCACCAGCTTCTTGGGCTGTAGCAGGAGGCCGCCCATGCCCCTGGCCTGAGGCACGTTCTCTGGCTTACCCTTCCCCTTTGCCGGTGCTCGCTTGGCGCCCAAGTCCCTGGGGTCAGAGGGCAGCGCTGGGGGAGGCCTCAGAGACGCTTTCGGCCCCTTGGGGTCCTCTGGCGGGGCGGGCGCCGAGCTCGGCCTACTCTGGAGGTCCGCCCTGCTCAGGCAAGCCAGCCCCCGCTTCTCCGCCCCTGGGTCCTTGTCGCAGAGACTGGCCTCTTTTATCCCGCCACTGGCTGTGTTCTGCGCCCACATGGAGGAGAGCTTCAGCTTCGATTTCTTGGAATGATTCTTCCCCATCTCCGCAGCAGCCCCCGCCGGCCTGTCCCCTGCCCCTGGCTCGGTGCTCAGCAGCTGACTGGTAGCTTTCTGCTCAGGGGCCTGGAGACCCGGGGGGCGGCTCCCCAATTCATGCTTAGCGCCGCTCGCACCCCGGTCTGGCTTGCTCCTGTCCGGGTTGCCTTTCTCCTCCCCGTCTTTGGCAGTCTCTGATTCTTGTGTGACTTCTGATTGGACATTGCCCATTATATACAGTCATCCTAGGAATAATAATAAAAAAGTCCAGCGTGAGGAGGAGGAAGAGGAGGAGGCAGTGGCTAGGGGAGGTGATGCCAGGAGCGTGATGGACACAGAGACACATGAGCAGGTTCATGGAGGATGCCCCAATTTTGCCTGAGCGCAGAACATGTGGGCAGCCCAGCACCCTGAAGAGAAAAAGAAGAGTTTGGATTTGATATCCCGCTTTATCACCACCCGAAGGAGTCTCAAAGCGGCTAACAATCTCCTTTCCCTTCCTCCCCCACAACAAACACTCTGTGAGGTGAAAACAAAAAAAATTCCTTCCAGTAGCACCTTAAAGACCAACTAAGTTAGTTCTTGGTGTGAGCTTTCGTGTGCATGCACACTTCTTCAGATACATGAACACGAAAGCTCATACCAAGAACTAGCTTAGTTGGTCTTTAAGGTGCTACTGGAAGGAATTTTTTTTGTTTTGACTATGGCAGACCAACACGGCTACCTATCTGTATCTGTGAGGTGAGTGAGGCTGAGAGACTTCAGAGAAGTGTGACTGGCCCAAGGTCACCCAGCAGCTGCATGTGGAGGAGCGGAGACGTGAACCCGGTTCACCAGATTACGAGTCTACCGCTCTGAACCACTACACCACATGACTATCCGCTGCCACAGGCCAGTTTGCCATTGCCAGCAACTGGTATTCAGTGGTGTAACAGCCCTGACAGTTGGAGGTAGAACGCAGCCATGTGACCAGTAGCCAATGGTAGCGTTCTCCTCTGCGCATTGGTCACTTCCTGTTTTAAAGCAGCTACGATTCCCCAAATTACCTGGGATGAGGTGAACCACTCTCTGAGGCGGATGGGGGACTCACAGCGACAGTCGGCACCCTTAACAAACTGCAGGCTATTTGTAAAAGGTAAAGGGACCCCTGACCATTAGGTCCAGTCGTGTCCGACTCTGGGGTTGCGGCGCTCATCTCGCTTTATTGGACGAGGGAGCCAGCATACAGCTTCCGGGTCATGTGGCCAGCATGACTAAGCCGCTTCTGGCGAACCAGAGCAACGCACGGAAACGCCGTTTACCTTCCCGCCAGAGCGGTACCTATTTATCTACTAGCACTTTGATGTGCTTTTGAACTGCTAGGTGGGCAGTAGACTATTTGAGGGGCCATCTAAAGTGGCTCAGTGCCGCAGGTTCCTGTGCTTTTAACGGGGTCTTGCCATGCGCTTTCTCCCTCGAGAAGCCCCACTTCCTAAGTGTCTGCGCTTCAGACAGATGCTTAAAAGCAGAGGATCGGGGCCAGTTAAAAGGGCCATCAACCTGCCATCTCAGAAGATGAGAATGGCCTCCAGGCTGAGAACTGCATCTCTTCCTAGATCCTTTTCTTTTGGGGGACGGGCCATCGGCTCAGGGGTGCAGTATCTGCTCTGCAGGCAGAGTCATAAAATGGTTTGAAGGGACCACAGGGGTCAACGAGTCCAGGGGTCTTTCACCCTGAGACCAAGAGACTCATGCTCTACCAGCTGGGCTCTCCCAGAGCTACAAGAAAGTTCCAGATTCGGGTCCCAGAAACATCTCCAGGTGGGGCTGAGAGACACCCCTTCCCCGAAATCCTGGGGGTGCTGCTGCCTGCCAGTGTTGACAGTAATAAGCTAGGCAGACCCAATGGCCTGACTTTGGCATAAGGCAGTTTCCTAAATTCCTCTGCAGGGGGAACAGAATAAGGCTTAATGCTTACAAAGAAGGAAGGGGGTGTTGCTGGGGTTTTTGGGGGGTTGGGAGCACCTAGATACCTGAGTTTTCTGCCTAGAGTGGCGGGGCCTTGGGGGAACTGTTCATATTCAAGCCGCCTCCTGGTTAATTTGTAGTCTTCTCAGGTACGCGCACTGAGCCATCCCAAATAAATCCTCTTCTCAGTGAGTTTGTTAAAATGGCCTGCTTAAGCACTGATCCATCCTACACTGGATCCCATTCTTAGAAGGAGGGGGGGGACGACGACAGCACGAGTCTTGATTGGATCCTTTCCAACTGGATCCCATTCGCTAACCTTCAAGCTTTGGGTGCTACTCACTGGGTTACAAAAAACCTGCAACTCCTTTCCATCTGTCCTCCCTAGAACTTGCTCACCCGAGTTTTTAATAAATGGCTGTCCCGTTTGGATCACTTCTTAATGGATTTAAAAAAATATAAATGCCTCTCCTCCTTGGATTTACGCTCAGTGGATCTTACTGAGTTTTTTATTTTTTTTAAAAAAGCCTCCCCTCTTCGGATCTCTTTCCTTACTGGAACTTGCTCCCTTTTCACTTTGATCCGTGGGTTTTGCTCAGACGGTTGATCCCTCCAGAAACCCTTCTCACTGTATCACAGGCTTAAAAGGGCGCATTTTGCTTTTCTCCGCCCCCCCCCCCTTTGCGGGATGCCTACTCAGTGAGTAAAATCAACAAACAGAAACACAACTCGCCCTTCGCACTGCCCTCAGCTGTGCTCCACGTGCTGGTCTCCACCCAAACCCCTTTCCAAGTTTGCCCCACCCTATCTGGGCTGGCCCCTCCCCCTCAGGCCCCTCCTCCAAATTGCGGCCCCTCCCACTCACCGCCTGGCTTTGTGGCTGCTCCCGGACGGAGCTGGGGAAATGGAACGAGTGGGCGGAGCCGCAACGGATATAACGGACGCTCCGCCCCTTTTTTCCCCTGCGCGGGGGGGGGAGGGGTTGTCAAGAATGCTGCCTCGAAGCCCCGCCCACCGATCCTGTGCGTAATTGCGCGCGGGTGTTGCAAGCACGGCTTTGCAAAATGGGTCTTTTTTTTTTTTTAATAACAATAATGTTTATTGAGTTTCATACAAATATAACACAGACTATAAAACAACTGAAACAAAAATAAAAAAACAGATAAAACAAATAAAGCGAAGATATAACAACAAACACAAACAATACAAATTGATTAATTAAACTTGCAACCTCATAAACATATCGCTTGACTTCTCTAGTCCCTCCCATCTGAATTTCCTTGTAACTGAATATAGCAGTTTTCCAATATCATGATTCAAAAACAATATTCCAATTATAGTCAGATTTCTTAACTTTTCTTAACATTCTAAATCTAAATTTATTTAATTAACTCCTAATTTAATCCTAGGCCTATTTGGTCCTTTCAGGTAACTTCTAATTTTTAATGTTACCATATTTATTCAAATAGTCTTTAAATTTCTTCCAATCTTCTTCATGCTCCTCTTCTTTCTGGTCGCGGATTCTTCCAGTGAGGTCAGCTAGCTCCATAAAGTCCATCATCTTCATCTGCCATTCTTCCACAGTTGGTAGTTCTTCTGTTTTCCACTTCTTGGCTATTAAAATTCAAGCAGCGGTTGTGGCATACAAAAATACCTTTACATCTTTCTTGGGCAATTCAAGACCAATTCAAGGAGGATGCAAAATGGGTCTTGTTGTTGCATGGGATTGTTGCTCTCTTGAGTCACAAGGTTAACCCCCAAAGCATGCATTGGGCCCGATTTAAACAAATGTTCAATTAAAATCACCTTGCTGTACAACCAAACAAATAGCTTAAGTGAATTGGGTAAGTTGGCTACATTGCAATGCATTTTCCAGGCGACCCAAAGCCGGCTGAGACAGGGAACCCGTGGCACCCCAAAGACGCCAGCTCCCATCAGCCCCAGCCCAGCATCAGTATTGATCGAGCAGTCACGAAATTAAAAGACGCCTGCTTCTTGGGAGAAAAGCAATGACAAACCTAGACAGCATCTTAAAAAGCAGAGACATCACCTGGCCAACAAAGGTCCATATAGTTAAAGGTATGGTTTTCCCAGTAGTGATGTAGGGAAGTGAGAGCTGGACCATAAAGAAGGCTGATCGCCGAAGAATTGATACTTTTGAATTATGGTGCTGGAGGAGACTCTTGAGAGGCCCATGGACTGCAAGAAGATCAAACCAATCCATTCTGCAGGAAATCAGCCCTGAGTGCTCACTGGAAGGACAGATCCTGAAGCTGAGGCTCCAAGACTTTGGCCACCTCCTGAGAAGAGAAGACCCCCTGGAAAAGACCCTGATGTTGGGAAAGATGGAGGGCAGAAGGAGAAGGGGATGACGGAGGACGAGATGGTTGGACAGTGTTCTCGAAGCTACCAGCATGAGTTTGACCAAACTGCAGGAGGCAGTGGAAGACAGGAGTGCCTGGCGTGCTCTGGTCCAGGGGGTCACAAAGAGTCAGACACAACTAAATGACTAACAACAACAACAAGTTCACAGCCACTGGAGTGCAGTGCTTTCTTGAAATCAGCTAATCAGAGGAAGGAGTCGATTATATTTGCAATCATGGCTAAGGAGTAAAGTACCATTTTTGTTCTGGAAAAAATTCCAAAGCCCCTTGAATAGGACCGCTCAAGAGTAACCAAAATAAAAGCAGGCAGGTTTTTGAGTCTTGCTCTTCATTGAGCAAGATGTTCAGCCAAGGAAACAGCTGGCTTGGTATTGAAGCCATAACATCTGCATAGAATCACAGAATTGGTCCAACCCTCTGCAATGCAGGAATCTCAGCTAAAGTTGGTGGCCATATCGCCACCTCCTGAAGGAATGAGTTCCATAGCTGAACCATGTGCTGCACTGAAGAAGCCAAGCAGCGCCAGTAGGAGTTGGAGTTCAAACGTCGCAGAAGATAGGATAGGAGCTGTAGTGGATTGCTCAGTGAGGACGCTGAAATAGGCAACTTCCATGCTAGGGATCACTGGGGAAGGAATTGAACATAAATCTGCCGATAATATAATGTCATTCTTCAGATAAGGGCAGCCAAAATGGTCATGGGGGTGGAGCTACTCCCCATGAGGAAAATTTGCAGGGTTTGGGACCCTTCAAATAACAGGTGAGGGATGCGGGTGGCGCTGTGGGTTAAACCACTGAGCCTAGGACTTGCTGATCGGAAGGTCGGCGGTTCGAATCCCCGCGACGGGGTGAGCTCCTGTGCTCGGTCCCTGCTCCTGCCAACCTAGCAGTTCGAAAGCACGTCAAAGTGCAAGTAGATAAATAGGTACCACTCCAGTGGGAAGGTAAACGGCGTTTCCGTGCGTTGCTCTGGTTCGCCAGAAGTGGCTTAGTCATGCTGGCCACATGACCTGGAAGCTGTACGCCGGGCTCCCTCGGGCAGTAAAGCGAGATGAGTGCCGCAACCCCAGAGTCAGTCACGACTGGACCTAATGGTCAGGGGTCCCTTTACCTTTAAATAATAGGTGAGGAAGAGGTTGCATGATTGAAGTGCAAACAATTCTACAGGAGCTTAAGCTGGCCAGACCAAAGGAGCATAACTTGTATGTTTAGACCAGGACATGTTCTGATGAGATGCTCATTTTAACATTTCCCACAAGTGTGCAATGTGGCTGGGGAAAGCCACGAGCCATTTTTCAAATGAGATACGTATTTCTGACCAACCACATGCTGCCTTATTTCTCCTACCACACTGCAGGGCTGGTTTTCGTTCATTAGCCGTGCTCGAATTAACCCTACGTATGATTGCACTGTGAATCGCCATTTTAGGAACAATCGCCTGCGTTGTTACCATCAGGGAGCGGAAATCAAAAGTGGAAATATCCCCACGACGGGGTGAGCTCCCGTTGCTCGGTCCCTGCTCCTGCCAACCTAGCAGTTCAAAAGCATGTCAAAGTGCAATTAGATAAATAGGTACCACTCCGGCGGGAAGGTAAACGGCGTTTCCGTGCGCTGCTCTGGTTCGCCAGAAGCGGCTTTGTCATGCTGGCCACATGACCCGGAAGCTGTACGCTGGCTCCCTCGGCCAGTAAAGTGAGATGAGCGCCGCAACCCCAGAGTCGGCCACAACTCTGGTCAGGGGTCCCTTTACCTTTACCTAAAACACCTGTTTGTACAAAAAAACCAGGTAGACACTGGTAACGCTGCAAGTTGTGAATATCCGATGGAGCGAAATGTCGGAAGATTCGGGGCAGCAGGGGTGCCAACTAATAAAATATTGGGGGGGAGGTACCCCCTGCCCCACATAATCTATCACAACACACACCATTTGAATGACAATGCCTATCAATTTTCGGGCCCTCCTGGCTCAAATATTTTATGGGAGGGGGAGTGTTGGCCCCTAGGAGTTGGCTCCTATGCAGGGCAGATAAAAGAGAGGACTTCTCCATGCAGACAGAGTTAAACTATGGAACTCCCTGCCACAGGAAGCAGCGATGGCCAGATTCATGGAGGAGAATTTAAAGACTATTTGAATAAATATTCTAATATTAAAGATATGTAACCACTTGAAAGAACCAATCAGGCTTAGGACTAAATTAGACTAAAGTATAATTATTAAAAGTATAAATAAGAGAATGTGCTATAAGAAAGGTAAAGAAATTGGAATATGACTGTAATATTGTTTTATGGAATAATGATATTGGAAACTGCTACATTCAAATTAAGAGGAAATTCAGATGGAATTAGAGGAAGTCAACTAAAATGTTTATGGAAATGGATTTTAATTAATTGGCTGAGTTTCTTTTTTCTGTTTAGGTATGTTAAGTTTGTTATTCTTTTTTTCTTATTTTTCACTTTTTTATTGTGTTGTTGTTGTGTTGTTGTTGCGTATTCTCTTTTTTGTTATGTCTATCGAAAATTAATAAATATTATGGTAAAAAAAATGATTCATGGAGGAGAGGGCTATTTATGGCTACTGGCAAAGGTGGCTGAATCCCAGGTGCTGGAAACCACAGGAGGAGAGAGGGATCTTGGGTTCGAATCCTGCTTACGGGGTTCCTGCTGGCATCTGGTTGGCCACTGTGAGAACACGGTGCTGGACTAGGTGGGCCATTGGCCTCTTCCAACAGGGCTTGTCCCTTCCTTCCTTCCTTCCTTCCTTCCTTCCTTCCTTTCTATACCAGCATTTGCCAACTCCCACACTATGTTGGCTGAGGCTGATGGAAGTTGTAGCCTCAAACATCTGGAGGGCACCAGGTTGGCAAATGCTTTTACACACACACACACATACACACACACACCTCATTCATACAGATCTAGAAATCTACACACAACATTGCATGTCTAAAGCTGTAGCCAGCCTTCTGTCCTGTGTCACCCCAGAAGCAGATGGGCTGTGCTGGCCGGTCAGCAAGCACAGATAGACCATCACCTTGCCAACAAAGGTCCATATAGTTAAAACTATGGTTTTCCCAGTAGTGATGTATGGAGGTGAGAGCTGGACCATAAAGAAGGCTGATTGCCAAAGAATGGATGCTTTTGAATTCTGGTGCTGTAGGAGACTCTGGAGAGTCCCATGGACTGCAAGAAGATCAAACCTCTCCATTCTGAAGGAAATCAGCCCTGAGTGCTCACTTGAAGGACAGATCCTGAAGCTGAGGCTCCAGTACTTTGGCCACCTCATGAGAAGAGAAGACCCCCTGGAAAAGACCCTGATGTTGGGAAAGATGGAGGGCACAAGGAGAAGGGGACGACAGAGGACGAGATGGTGGGACAGTGTTCGCGAAGCTACCAGCATGAGTTTGACCAAGCTGCGGGAGGCAGTGGAAGACAGGAGGGCCTGGCATGCTTTGGTCCAGGGGCTCACAAAGAGGCGGACACAACTAAACAACTAAACAACAACAACAAGGCAAACTAAGGCCCAGGGACCGGATCTGTC